TTTGGTGTTTGATGGAGCTGGAAAATATCCAGAAATTAGCAGTTTTTGGTATTTTGTGTTGTTATTTTTGGATTATTTATAGTTTTGAATTGCAAGTTGGGATTTTGATCTTCCTTAAACAACTTTTAACCTTGCAAACTTTGAAAAAGGGCTTTTATGAACATATTTAATAGCTTAAAGTCCTGAGAGAGACTTGTCTACTGCATAAAATATTGATATTTGTTGTTTAAAAGAGATTTTTTTTGTGATTAATATTTTTATTCATGTTTATTTATGGTTTGGAATTGCAGTGAGTCGTGAGAGATTCGTTCCTGAAATATTGATGTTCAGTTTTTGGCAAAGCTGTAAATTGGCAGTAAATAAGCAAGTTTCTGTATTTTTGTGATTTATGTTGTGGTTTTTGTTTGTTTATTTATGATTTTGAATTGCGTTTTGGGAACTTGATCTTTCTTAAACTTTTAAACATGAAAAGATTGAAAAAGTGACTTTAAATGAGTTTAAAATCGTGAGAGATAATTTACTGCTGGTTTATGAGCCTGAAATATTGATGTTTGGTGTTTGATGGAGCTGGAAAACATCCAGAAATTTGCAGTTTTTTGTATTTTGTGTTTTTTTTTTTTTTGTGTTTATGGTTTTGAATTGCATTTTGGGAGCTTGATCTAGTTTAAGTCATAACAGATAATTACTTATTCACTGCTGGTTTACTGCCTGAAATATTGATGTTTGTTTTTTGACAAAGCTGTAAATTTGCAGTAAATAAGCTAGTTTTGGTACTTTGTGATTTATGTCTTTGTTATTTATTCATGGTTTTGAACTGAATTTTGGGAACTAAATCTTCTTAAATAACTTTTAAGAAGTTTTAAAAAGTGACTTTTATGAACATTTTTGATAATCTTGAGAGATAATCACTTATTCACTGTCTAATATGTTTTAGAATATTCAATGTCGTATTAAAATATTTGTTTTACATTTATATAATTATTACAGTAGTGTTTGGTTTCTTCTCTGTCAGTTTAGCCTGTATTATTATGATCATTGTGCTGGATACAGTAAGCTGATAGTGATGCTCAGATGACCTTGTGTGTGTGTGTGTGTGTGTGTGTGAGCATGCAGAGACTCGTCTAGAATATTTTAGGGCTCCAGTAAAGTCAAAAACAGAAGCTAGTGAAGTTTCCATAACAAATATCGGACGGGTTCCAGTTCCAGTAACGGCAGATATGAACCTGCGGGCTACGACACACACTGACCTGAAGACGCCTTATATAAACAAACAGTGCACCAAAAAATGGAAAATTGCTCACTTACTTTGATTTTCTTTTTTTGTTGAATACAAAAGAAGATATTTAGAAGAATGTTGGATTGTTTTTTCTGGGCCTATAACTCTCTTTCTGCTTAAAAAAAATAAAATTAAATTAAATTTACTATGGAAGTTAATGGTTGTCAATGAACAAAAATTACATTTCTGTGCCTAAAAATGAAAATTATGGATGCACTCGGTACACAATCTAATCTGAAACCATAACTTATTTAATAATGTTTTAATATTTTTTTTTTAAATAACATCAAGTGATCTTTTTAAAATTAACTGAAAAAATTAAATAATACAGCTTTTATTGACAATGAACGAGTCGAGATCATTTTACCAACGTTGCCATGGAAACAGTAGTAATATTTAGGGTCAGGCACATTTGGGGTTATTTCGATAACGGCGCTAAATTGATACTTTTAAAATTGTACCGGAGCCTAAACAGTAAACCGATACTTTTGAGCCACAAAATTATCTGACAGTTTTTTTTTTTTATCATTATAATTGAACAATATAATTATATATTTATAATAAGTTTAAAGTAAACATCAATTCATATTTTATATATTTAAATTGCATTAATATATTTCTTTTGATTATTTGTTAGCATAAATGCAAGATTTGCATTATGAAATTACATTTACATGGAGTCAGTAATCTAATGATTTGCCTTAATCTGAATAAGACGGTAAGGGGATTAAGGTATTTATATGAGATACCTTCATGATCTTGTTTTACGTTATAGCACATAGATTGATTAACGTCATTGCGTCTCCGCGCTATCAACGTTTCCTCCGCAGTTTAATTTTAGTTTTTAATCTTATGACTTTAACTGCAGTTTGGCAGTTTCACATTCATTCAGGAACATTTCATCTGTGTCCACATGACAAAGGTATTAAATGAGACTATGGAGTATGGACTAGTGGAGGAGTGTTGTTTTAATGGAATTTTAAACCCCGCATTTCATGACGCAGATGCCTGTAGTCCTTTAAGATATTCAAAAGTTGCTGTTTACATGGTGACTCTTAATCAGAGTATCGTCTTAATCATATTGACATCAGAGTATGGCTGTCCATGTAAACGTATTAAGTGTAGTCCCAGATGATGTCGCAAGCTGTCAAATGATGTCTTTGCCTTTAAGTTTGTTTGATATTAGTAATCCGATTACAAGTATAAAAAAGTAGTTTACTTTAGTTACAAGTACTTGATGTTTGTAATTTGATTACAAGTATTTTAATACGTACTTCACTCCAATTACAAAAACCTGCTTTTACTAATCTAATCTAACATTATTATAATATTATAATATTACAAATAATTTTACAAGTTCTTGATTTCTGTAATCTAATATTTTTACAAGTTCTTGATTTTTGTGAACCGTTTACAAATACTTTAAAGAGTACTTTACTCTTACTACAAGTACTTTATTTCAGTAATTCGACTACAAGCATTTAAAAAAGTATTTTACACTAATTACAAGTACTTGAAATTAGTAATCCAATTACTTTAAAAAGTAGTTTAATTTAGTTGCAAGTACTTGGTATTCGTAATTCAATTACAAGTATTTTAATACGTAGTTTACTCTAACTACAACTACATGATTTTTGTAAACTGATTACAAATACTTAAAGTACTTTATAATTACAAGTACTTGATATTTGTAATCTGATTACGAGTATTTTAAAAAGTAGTTTACTCTAATTACAAGAACAGATTTTTGTAATTCAATTAGGAGTATTTTAAAATGTTGCAAGTACTTCATATCTGATTACAAATATTTTATTATGTAGTTTACTTTAATTACAAATACTGATGTTGGTAATCCGATTGAGAGAATTGTTTTTATAATCCAATTAAGAGTATTTTTAAAACTAGTTTACTCTGACTACAAGTACTGGATTTCTATAACTCAGTTATGATTATTTTAAAAAGTAGTTTACTTAAGTTGCAAGTACTTGAAATCCGTAAGTACTTGATGTTTCCAATCTGACTACAAGTATTGAAAAGTATTTTACACTAATTACATTGTAATTAGTAATTACTTAAGTAAGTAATTACTTGTAATCTGATTCTGAGTATTTTATTATGTAGTTTACTCTTTCTACAAGTACTGATTTTGGTTATCCGATTATGAGAATGTTTTTGTAATCCAAATAATATTTTTATTCAATTAGTATTTTTAAAAGTATTTTACTGTAACTACAAGGACATGATGTTTGTAACATGAATACGAGTACTTTAAAAAGTAATTTGCTCTAATTACAAGTACTTAATTTTTGTAATCCAATTATGAGTATTTTTAAAACTAGTTTACTCTGACTACAAGTACTTGATTTCTATAACTTAACTTATTAAAAAGTAGTTTACCTAAGTTGCAAGTACTTGATGTTTGTAATCTGATTACAAGTAGTTTATTATGTAGTTTACTTCAATTACAAGTACTGATTTCGGTTATATGATTATGATAATTTGTTTGGAATCCAATTAAGAGTATTTTAGCAAGTATTTTACTCTAACTACAAGTACTATAAATGTGCAATTTGAATATGAGTATTTTTAAAACTAGTTTACTCTGATTACAGGTACTCAGTTTACTCTGATTACAGAGATTTTTATAACTCGGTTATGAGTATTTTAAAAACTCATTTACTTTAGTTGCAAATACTTGATGCTTGTAATCTGATTAGGAGTATTTTTGTAAACAGATTACAAGTACTTTAAAAAGTATTTTAATTACAAATGCCTGATTGCAATCCGATTAAGAGTATTTTTAAAAGTATTTTACTGTAATTACAAGTACATGATATTTCTAATCTGATTTCGAGTATTTAAAAAAGTAGTTTACACTGATTACAAGTTCTTGAT